TGTTCGTTCGATTTTTGTGTCTAACTTATGTTCGACTCGAACATCAAGACCAACCCTATGTGGAATTACACCCCAAAGAGCTCTATAGCTGAAATACTGCTACAGGGTGGCATGGGTGCAGAAAATCATGTAAATATACATGATTTTGCATTTCAAGGTAGGGGGCACGAGCCGTACCCACGCCGCCATTCGCGGCTGTGGCTGTCAATCACTGGGTCCCGGCTCGTGATTACTCGCTACCGCCTGGTGATTTCCAAGGAACTTTGACGCGGAGGAAAACAGTTGTGTTTACTGACAGTTCTCCTCCCTCTCAGCTCGGGCACACTGTTTTGGATGGCTGTGCACAGCACAGCCATCCAAAGCAGTGTGCTTACAGTGAAGCACACAGACACAGCCCCTTAGTAAAACTCTCCCAGCACACAGTTAACCCTTTGATTGCCCTCATGTTAACCCCTTCCTGTCCAGTGCCATTAGTACAATGACAAATGTTTTTTTTTTAGCAACGGTCACCGTATTGGTATCACTGGGTTTGTCAGTGACATTAAGTCAGTTCCCCCCATTGTCAGTATGTCCACTGCAGTCCCGCAGTTCCACAGTCCGGCTATAAGTCGCTGATTGCCGCCATTACTAGTAATAAAAAAAATCCCAGTATATATACTGCCATTTGTAAATGCATTTGTATAACTTTCACGTAAACCAATTAATTTACACGTATTGTGATTTTTTTTTTAGCAAAGACATATAGCAGAATACATTTTGCTCTAAATCCATGAGGAAATTTGATTTTAAATTTTTTTTTTACTGGACATGTTTAATAGCAAAAATTCAAAAATATTGTCGGTCTTTTTCTTTTTTTTATAGTGCAAAAAATAAAAAAATGCACAGGCAATTAAGTCCCACAGAGAGAAAGCTCATTTTGTGGGAAAAAAAGGACATAAATTTCATTTGGGTGCAGTGTTGCATGATGGCACAATTGTCAGTTAAAATAACACAGAGCCATAAAGCAAAAAATGGCCTGGTCAGGAAGGGGGTAAATCCTCAGCAGGGCAAGTGGTTAAAGTACACTATTCCCTCATTACACTTCCTGACTACCTATCACAGTTTCAGAGGCCCAAAATGCCAAAATAGTACAAAACACCCACGAACCCCTTTTTGGAAATTAGACTCTCCACGGTATTTGCTAAGAGCATTTTGTAGATCTCATTTTTTGCTACATGTTTTTGGAAAATTAAGAAAGAAAACAAAAAAATATTTTTTCTTTTCTTTTTTTATTTTTCAAGACCTTGTGACAAAAGATGAAATCTGCAAAGAACTTACCATGCCTTATTAAATTCCTTGAGATGTGTACTTTCCATTTGGGGGACAGTTGTGCTATCCTGTGACATTGTAAAAGTGCAGCGCTTATAATAACAACATAAATAAATATATAAATTATAAAGTGCTAGATATATCAATGTTCTGAAAAATCGTGGAAAATGAATATAATATATAATATATTAAAGTGAACAAGCGTGTGATGATAAATGTCCAAGTAAATCCAATTTATAATGGATAAATATAGTGATAGTCCCAATAATTAGTGTGGAGGAGCCGCACGCCGTGATGTCACGCCGCCGGATCACGGAGGTCCGGCAGCCATCATATTTCTCCAGCTGCAATTAATATTCCAGGAACTCGGGTGACATCTGGCCTTAACCATCCCAGAATCCAGAGGAGGGATATCAATACCAGGGTGCATTTTCATCCACCTTTAAAAGGGACCTCTGGCTGATTTCAACACGCATCTGGTGAGTGTGCATTTTTACCATATCCCGCACGTCACTGGAACATCTGTTTATGCACCATTGAAATATCAGAATAGAATATTCCACATCTGAAAATCGAAAATCCATCACGCAAAGGATTATTTACACTAATTATTCACTTTAATATATATTATTCATTTTTTCCACAATTTTTCAGAACATTGATATATCTAACACCTTATAATTTATATATTTATTTATGTTGTTATTATAAGCACTGCACTTTTACAATATTACATGCTATTTTAAAAGGTTTTTGGTTCCTTTTTTAGTGCAATAGCTGCTTTTATTATCAAGCGCTCGCTGAGTCCCTCTGTTTTTAAGTTGTGCTATCCTGGCATTTCAGGGCCTCTGAAACTGTTATAGGTACTGAGAAAGTGATATGAGGAAATTATGCTCCTTCAGACTTTCAAAGGGGTCATGGGATTGCAGGCTCCTTTACATGGCTAGACTCCCAAAAAGTCTCTCACATGGGTATCCCCATATTTGGGAGAAGCAGTAGAATGTATTTTGGGGTGTAAATCCACATATATCCATAGCATGTGTGACCAATATATCATTTCAGTAACAAATCTGTGTAGAAAAAAAAATATTTTTTTTTCATTTTCCAAAAACTTGTGGAAAAAAACTTCCATGGACTCAACATGCCTTTCAGCAAATACAATATCGCATGACTGCACAATTACAAGTTAAAGTAGTACAATGCCGAATAACAAAAAAATGGCCTGGTCAGGAAGAGGGTAAAACCTTACCGAGGTCAAGTGGTTAAAATTAAAAAAAGCTGAGTTAAAAGAAGCCTGATATGAACCAGGTTAGCTGTCATTACTGAGGGTTTTTTTCCTGAAAATGCTAGTTGTTTGGTTGTCATGCTGACTGCATTGCTCTGATTCAGTGAAAGTATACAAATTGGGACATCTGAATTTTTGCAGACTTTCCTGACGTACATGTTTTAGGTCAGAGGTTAAGAAAGTACTGAAGATAGATGTTCAACAAAATAGCCAATTAACTAGCATTTTCAGGAAGATGATCGCAACAAAAAGGGAGATAGTTCTCTAATCAGATATAACACCCCCCAAACACACACCAATTTACAGAACTATGCTAAGGGGGAGGGGTGTTATAGGAAAGGTAACCTCCTAACCACCTTTTTATTACAGGTGGTTAAGACACATTATGCCACCTCCTCACTGCCTATCTTTAACCCCTAAAAGCCCACACTACTGTACTTCAACCACACACATTGGACATGGTTTTGTGGTGGCCCCATTCACTTCATTAGGCATGGTGTCACATACCTGATGGGAGACTGAATTGACGAGGTCGGCCTCACTTGTGTCACTAGCCCTGGCCCTGCTGAGGTTGGAACAGAGGGAGTCTAGGGACCAGGGGGACAAGAGCACCAGTGGTTGTTGTTTGCAGCTCTTGCAGATGATGACCTTGTAAGGCAGATGATCCTCTGATTTAGGCACCATAATAATACACAGAGCAGGTTCTGTGGATTGCCAGACGTGCAGCAGAGCAAGGTAGGTAGTAAGGACAAGAGACTGGAGCAGGGTCATAGGATAGCCAGGGTCATCAACAGTCGGGCAGCGCGGTACAGAATCAGAAGGGAAAGCCAAAGTCAGGAGCAGAGCCGAAGTCAGGAACCGGTAGCAGGAGAGTAATCGAAGTCGGGTCACGAACAAGCCGGGTTGGTAACGGAGGAATCGTACAAGAACAAGCAAGACACAGGGGGGAGCTGAAGACCAGTCAGCACTGAACCTGAGCAGAGGCACTACTTAAATGGGCCGTCTGGCACCAATCTTCGCCGTGCACGTGCGAGATTGCGCGTTCCTGTGCGCATGCGCACCCGGCAATTCTTCTGCGGGAGTTCCTATGCGCATGAGCGTTCCCGATCGCCATTCTTCTTGCCGGAAATCCCTTACACATGGCCTGGCTGGAGCTCGGGCTCAGGCTGTTATACTTTCTTACCTGGGGTTTTGCAGAGATATATGACTCATATGAACATTTTCTTTCCTGTACATGCCACAGCCACTACATACATTTCAGCACTGCATGCACTTCTCTAAGCCCAGCTCCTGACTCCTCAGAATGGGTGGATGGGGAAGGGCACAGTTTGGCATTTTCACTATAGGCACTAGATGACCTTGACTCACCATTAGTTGTAATCCTCCTAGAGTGCCCCTGTAAGACTACACCCTACCTTGAGGGCAGCCAGGAGCTGTGCCAGGATCCTTGCTGAAGAATGCTTGTGTACAGGCAGGGACAGTGAGCTGCAAGGGGCAGGGCGCACACGTGATGTCATGTTGCCATGTTGCCATGATGACTGCCCTGCTCAGCTGCGGATCTGTCATTGCAGGCTGGCGGTCCAGAAGGGAGCACTGCTGGGGCCATTCTTGGACCGCAGTCTGCCATTTAGTGACCGCTGCTGTAGAGGTACATGGTTGCTGGCTGAATAATGTAAATCTGGTCATACACTGTTAGATTTTGAAAGGACAATTAGTGAAAGATCATTTAACTGTTCAATGCACCCAACATCGATTCAAATAATTTTTTGTTTGACAGCAAATAATTTTTGTTTGATTTGTAATGTATAGAATTTTAATGCTCAATTTTCTAACTTTTACAATAGTATATAAAATACAATGCAAGCAATTTTTCCCAACTCTGGACCACATTAACAGAAATTTGGCTCGTTCAGATAAGAAAAAGCAAAACTTTCCATATTGAGCCTTTGAATTTTCTCATCCTTGTGGTTTAAAATAATGTGTATTTGTCCCCATTAACCATTAGAAATTCGAATGAATGTTATTCATCAAAAATCTACCACTGTATAACTAGTTTAACCACTTGTGCTTAAACGGCTGGGTGAGAGCGTCGCTGTTGTGAGTGGATGTACCCGTACATCCCTCAGACCATGGGCACATAGCTGCATGCTCCCAGTGTGCCTGGACACAGCATATCACCACTTAGCAGATGGGCTCTGTGATTGGTACTTCTGATCACATGATGGCTGTGTTCACAGAGCCACCATGTATTGTGTACACAGTTACCTGTTACTAGATCGGCTCTGCCTTTCCTCACACAAAGCCTACCAGCTCGGAACAGTGAGTATTAATACATTTCCACACACTAATCACCCAGCAAGTGTCCCACACATCTGTCAATGTCAAATCCACATCTGTCACAGTGTACCAGTGATCATACACATCTGCCACAATGCACCAGTGATCATCCATCTGTCACAGTGTACCAGTGATCATACACATTTGTCATGGTGTACCAGTGTCAAATCCAGGGGCGGACTGACAACTCATGGGGCCCCTGGGCAATAGGGGATCACAGTGTATTAACGGTCATCTACATCTGTCACAGTGTACCAGTGATCATCCAGGTCTGTCACAGTGTACCAGTGTCAAATCCATATCTGTCACAGTATACCAGTTAACATCTGTCACAGTTTACCAGTGATCATCCACATCTGTCACGGTGTACCAGTGACTAACATCTATCACAGTTTACTAGTGATCATCCACATCCATCACAGTGTACCAGTGATCAACATCTGTCACAGTGTACCAGTGTCAAATCCACATCTGTCAAAGTGTACCAGTGTCAAATCCACATCTGTCACAGTGTACCAGTGATCAACATCTGTCAGTGTACCAGTGATCATCCACATCTGTCACAGTGTACCAGTGATCATCCACATCTGTCACAGTATACAAATGTCCGAGAAAAATACACTGCTCAATATAATTAAAGGAACACTTTGAAAACACATCAGATCTCAATGGGGAAAAATATCATGCTGGATATCTATACTGATATGGACTGATTAATGTGTTAGGAACATAAGGATGCCCCATCATTTGATGGAAATGAAAATTATCAACCTACAGAGGACTGAATTCAAAGATACCCCGAAAATCAAAGTGAAAAAATGATGCAGCAGGCTAATCCATTTTGCTGAAATTTCACTGCAGCAACTCAAAATGGTACTCAGTAGTTTGGCTAGCTCCCACGTGCTTGTATGCATGCCGAACAACATCAGGACATGCTCCTAGTTAGACGATGGTGTTCTGAGGTATTTCCTCCCAGATCTGGACCAGGGCATCTCTGAGCTCCTGGACAGTCTGAGGTGAAACCTGGCAGCGTAGGATGGACTGTAAGATGATATCCCAGAGGTGTTCTATTGGATGTAGGTCAAGCAAGTGTGGGGGCCATTCAATGTTATCAATTCCTTCATCCTCCAGGAACTGCCTGTATATTCTTGCCACATGAGGCTGGGCATTGTGTCGCACCAAGAGGAACCCAGAACCCACTGCACCAGCGTAGGGTCTGACAATAGGTCCAAGGATTTCATCCCGATACCTAATGGCAATCAGGGTGCCATTGTCTAGCCTGTAGAGGTCGGTGCGTCCCTCCATGGATATGCCTTCCCAGATCATCACTGACCCACCACCAAAACGGTCATGCTGAACGATGTTATGCAAATGCCAATCGAGCTATATGGTACCGGGCAGTGAGCACAGGGCCCACTAGAGGACGTCGTCCCTCAGGCCACTCATGAAGTCTGTTTCTGATTGTTTGGTCAGAGACATTCTCACATCAGTACTTAATCTCAGTGTAATCAGTAAAGGAAACTGTGAATAACACCAAATTGTGCTAGATGCAAAAAATAAATGAATTAAATCATGTGTAAATATTGCACATCCCATGCTGCCACTATATAATAATCCAAAATTAATATAAAACCCACAGTGAGAATGTGAAAAAGTGGCGCACACACTTCACAGTGCTAAACTTATCATAAAAAAATAAACTTTAAACATGCTATCCCAAACATGATAATATATAATACTGTAATTATCTTCCGGTGAAAACCAATAAAAATTCAGTGATAAAAAAAAAATCCGGTGTTCAAATCAACAAAATTTAGTGATAAAAAAATCCAGTGATAAAAAAAAACGTCCAGTGATGAAAACAGAACATACGGTGTTGAAAAACACAGTGGTCGCAGTGCGCCCCCACATGGGTGTGCACTTACCAGTGTTTTAATGTCCTCTACCTTTAGTATGTGGAAAACAGAACAGGGCTTCAACTGGTAAGTACTGGGAGTCCCCAAACTTGACTCATTCAACAATCAATGCCAGGGTTATACAAAGTATCCACTCATTTGTTACTCCATGCCAGGGGCGGACTGACCATTTGGAAACTCGGGCACTGCCAGAGGGCCCAGGGTCAGTAGGGGGCCCCATGAGATGCCCCTGGTACCTTTTTCATAGGCTTTTTTGAGTTTGGGCAAGGACACAGGGGCCCCATGATCCTCTATTGCCCGGGGGCCCCATGAGTTGTCAGTCCGCCCCTGCTCCATGCCCAACCACATCAATGTGTAAGATATAATTAAGCCCATAAAGTAAACAGTGGGGACCGTTTGGTGCTCTCACCACCTCCAGAACTACCCTGAGGGTGTGACAGTGCGGCAAACCAGAAGTGACGCGGGTCCATAACCGGAAGTGATGTGACGGCATCTGGTCTGATAGTTCCGGAGTGGTGAGAGCACCAAGTGGTCCCCGCTGTTTACGAGATGTTACAGCACTACTTAGTCACCAGGAGATCAATCTAATAATATAAAAAAGGTCACCATCTACTTGTTTCAGTTAGCCCTGTACAATTCCTATGTCATATTTTCTAAGTGCACCCAAAGATCCCTATCCTACCTGAAATATCAAGACAGCCCTTCCCTAACTGCATGACCTTGTCCCTGAACAAACTCGCTCTAATTCAGTGACCAGACTCCATTAAAGGCATTTCCCCAATATCCTCCTTCTTACCCAAACAGGCTGCAATACCCAAAAGAAAATGTTATGAATACTCCAGTAACAGAATTCGCCGTGACACCTGATACTACTGTCCCCAATAGCTCTGTATTGGAGTATGCTTCTGGACCTATCACACATCACTACACTACTAGTGAAGTATAAGTGAAGTGAATACATTTGTTATTTTGCCAGTGTTTGCTATGGCTATTACCTGTATTACCTGTATTGTTTATAGACAATGTCTCTGCCTGCCACCTGAACTGACCCTGGACTGTTTATTGACAATACCTCTGCTTGCACTATCAACCACGTTTCTGCCTTCCATCTGAACTGACCTTGGCCTGTTTATTGACAATACATCTGCTTGCACTATCAACCACGTTTCTGCCTTCCACGTGAACTGACCTTGGCCTGTTAAATCAACCATGTTTTTTGCCTGCTGCCTGAACTGATCTTTCGCCCTGCCACTGTATTAGTGAGATTCAAAACAGCACAGGGGTCTCACATATGTGAGGGCCGCTAAAATCATTTTTCTGAGTGGAGAAAACTAAATTTTGTCCAGGTTTTGTAATTCTCAGATTAGGGCCTGGAGAGTGGAGGTTTCAAAGAGATTTGGGTGGGAAGAAGCCTCTACCCCTGTGTCCAGGTCTTACCTGACCGAGTCCCTAAGCCAGCTGTTTCTGCCTGCTGACATCTGACCCTGGCCAACCATGTCTCTGCCTGCCACCTGAACTGACCACACCTCTGCCTGCTACCTGTACTGCCTGCTTATGGATCATGTTCCTGCCTACTGCCAGGACCAAAGCTTTAACTGTGCTGACTATGGGTCTGCCTGATGTCTGAACAATTCCTTTGGCTGTTGCTGACCACATCTCTGCCTGCTGCCTGGACCAATGTTTTGGCTGTGCTGCCAATATCTCTGCCTGCTACCAGTATTGACTAAGGACAGAATTTCTCCCTGCTGCCTGGATGATTCATTTTGCTGTCACTGGCCACAGCCCTACCAATTGCCTTGACCAGTGCTCTCCTCTGTGGACAACTGCACTACTAAAACCACAGGTTATCTTTTGTTTATCCTTTGCTCAGCAGAATGTATTTTGGGGTGTAATTCTTGGTATATGCATGCTATGTGTTAGAAGCCTGAAGGTGCTACTTGGATGTTGGGCTTCTGCATATGGACAGGCTATGGAAAAGTCTCACACATATGGTATCATCATACTCAGGAGCAGCGGTTCTCAACCTGTGGGTCGCGACCCCTTTGGGGGTCGAACAACCCTTTCATAGGGGTCTCTTAAGACCATTGGAAAACACATATTTCCAATGGTCTTAGGAACCGAGACACCGCTCCTCTATCAGTCTCCAGGCGGGTCCGCCAACATGCAGATATGTCCATATTTCCCTGGACCGCGATGTGTAAGCGGGATGACATGCCGCCCCTGTCATCTGGCCACATCCCTGGGATCACTCAACAGCTCCGCCTCCTCGCCAGTGATTGGCCGCCGGAACTGTAGCTCAGGAGAGGCACACAGGCGGCCAATCACTGGCGAGGAGGTGGAGCTTGGAGAGGAGGAGCCGAGCAGCAGCGTGAAGAGCAAAGAAGATCGAGCGAGGGAGCGGCCGGAGAAGGAAGACAGCTGACAGGTAAGCGTCTGTAGCGTGCAGATGGTGCTGCTGCAGCCAGGTATGCTGGCTGTAGATGGGAGAGGGAGGGAGCAAGCCCAGGCTGGAGCAGGAGTCAGCAAGGTAAGTATCATTGGTGTCAGTGGGAGGAATAGTGCCCCATCATTGGTGTCATTAATACCAATGATGGGGCACTATTCCTCCCACTGACACCAATGATGGGGCACTATTCCCCCCCCCCACTGACACCAACGATGGGGAAATATTCCTCCCCCCACTGACACCAACGATGGGGAACTGTTCTTCCCCCCACTGACACCAACGATGGGGCACTATCCCCCCCCCCACTGACACCAATGATGGGGCACAATTCCCCCCACACTAGTATCAATGATGGGGCACTATTCCCCCCCCCCACTGACACCAATGATGGGGCACTATTCCTCCCACACTGACACCAATGATGGGGCACTATTCCTCCCACTGACACCAACAATGTGGCACTATTCCTCCCACTGATACCAATGATGGGACACTATTGCTCCCACTGACATCAGTGATGAGGCACTACTACTCCTCTCACTGACAAAAATGATGTGGCACTACTCCTCCCACTGTAAAATTACAGTTATGAAGTAGCAACTAAAATAATTTTATGGTTGGGGGTCACCGCAACATAAGGAACTGTATTAAAGGGTCGTGGCATTAGGAAGGTTGAGAACCACTGCTCAGGAGGAATAGCAGAATGTTATTTGAGGTGTAAGTCTTGGTATGTACATGCTATGTGTTATAGTAATCTTATAAATTGACATCTTTGTGTAAAAAATATGTTTTTATTTTATTTTCACATTT